AAAAATAGCTATTAATTCAGAAATGTTTTTAGGAGTTGGTCAAGGATGTGAAGTATACTTCATGGAATGTATAATGTAACAATAATATTTTCTACAGGAGTACGGAGGGTATTAAACAGGTCTGCTAGAAAAGAATCTAAAAGCAAGACGACAGGATGGAGAGCATATTCTTTACAATTGATATAAGAAAGGAACCTTCCAATACAACAACCAAGTGTAGTTTTTACAACGAGTTTGATAATAGTATCTGATTCATGTGACTATAGATGCTTGTGGAAGAGCAACGCAATTAAATTAGCCGACATTACTGAAATTAAGGAGATGAAGCCAATGGAATTCGGTCTCATTGAGTCCACTTTGAAGGAGACGTCACCTTGGGAGCTTAATGTATACTCGGAGGTATAGTCTATATAATTATACATTAGTGTCAGACATATATTTAACAAGCGGCTATAGCTATTCCAGTAGCTAGCTATCTTAATTATGAAGTACTTCTTGTCTGACTGGCGGCACACCAGTTTCACAGTGCGTAGCCTGATGAGTTGACTCAGGGCTCGAGTGAAGCCGAGCTCGAGGCCGACTAGACAGCACCACCACGCGTGCACACCATCCGGTAAACCATGCCTTCTCGAGCCATTTCAGGGTGCCTTTCACTGCCATTTACACCATGCTTTCAGCTCCATGAAGTGTTTCAGGTTGTCGGGTAGCTATGTGTGCTCCGCATATGCACCAACGCAGCAGCGTATAGTGGCAAAGAGCATATGAGTAGCTGAAGGACCACTATGGGGCATACCACATGGTCGTAGCCGCTAGCTTGGATGAATGGGTAGTGCATGGATACTTACACAATATGCATACTTCTTCCAGGTTAAGAGTTCAGCGTATCGTTGAAGTATAAAGTTACTCGGAGGATGCTTTTTTCACCCCATATCCAAGTCGTTTTAGCCTTTAGATTCTGTAACAAGACACATACAGGCTGCGCATGCGCACAGAAAGTTACAACGCATGCGCACACGCCCTGCGTACTACTTATCAGAAAACATTCATTATGCAGGACGAGAGACAGCAATGGAAAGAAGCGCTGACTAAGCCGCCCGGTCAAAAACCTAAAAGTCAAATTATCGCTGTATGTGACAGTGATACAGAAGAGTATATGTATATGACTATACCAACCTACCGAGAGGATTATGGGCAAACAACATGTGTACGAGAGGAAAGGGGTCTGAGGGATTCACAAAGCATATCTCCTGACCAGAAAAGTGCTTCATCATCATACAGTACCCATCATGAACTGGAGTTTACTTCGCCTTCACAAGTGAAGCCTAAGGCAACTACACAACTTGAAACTTGCACACCACACGACAGATCTGAAGAAAAACCATACCAAAATATTTCGAGATTCGAGTCAAGGTCAGTGAAAAACACATCAAATACGCCTCAGTCGCACTTGACAATACCACGGTCACCTTCGGATCCAGCAGATTTAGCACATTCTCGAGTGACTCCAATTAGACCCAGAACAGCAAATCTTAAGGCTACATATGCACCAGTCAAAACGGATCCTCTTCCACCTCTTCCAAAAGATGATTCTACCTTTTCTCGCTCCCCCATTCAGTTTAGAGCATCCAACTCGGAGAGAGCCCCTGTTTCAGTTCCAGAAGATGCCATCTATGATGTCATCCGCACCCCACTAAGTAGGGTACCAGTACAGAAATCGTGGCCCCCAACACAACAAGCGACTTCAACAGTAGAGGCCCGTTCACCGTCCCTTCAACACGATAATTGCTTTCATGGCGAAAAGTCCCACTTATTAGGTGCTGAAGAAAAAACCAGGTCTGATAATCTAATGCCTTCCCCTCGGACAAGAAGAAATGTTTCACCTCCTTCAGAAAATGAGAATAAATACCATGCTACAGCTTATTCACCTGCCCCACCCAGGGCACCAAAAATGCCTACACAGCCAATACCTGTCGGTATGAGGACCCCCTCATCTAGAAAACCAAGATCAGTATCGGAGAGTGATTTGCCCCAAGAAGATCTTGGCTCTCCAGTGAAAAATGGTCCAATACCTTCACCCAGAATGGCAAGGCCTCCATTCCAAACCAAACCAGAAATACCAGTACCCAATATGAAGTCAGCATCGGCATCAGCAGCAAGTACATCCCAAGACAGCGTCGATGAAATTCCATTACAACTAACAGTTCCATTAGGTGACGAAAGCACTAATGAATCCTCAGAGGAAGACATTTATGTACTACCAGAGGGATACCAAATTCAATATCAGGAACAAAATATTGCACCAACTGTAACTGTTACAACACCCCCTGATATGCCAAGTGATACTAATAAAGCCGTGGATACAGAAATAGCCAAAGGAAAAGGTAACAGTCATAGCACTAAATCTTCACAAACAGCAGAGCATTTTGTAAAAATAACATGTGAGTCAATGGTGTTTTGTTCACCTTGCATAATCTGATACTTCCACTTTTTTTTTATTTAGGCTCATCATTAGAGGATCTTCTAAAGAGAAGCCTGTCCATAAACCCTTCAACACTTACAGCAGTCACTAGAATTGGCAAAGGTTTGCACTTTTCTTTATCTGTAATACATACACCATTGTAAGAAATGCATCCTTCACAGGTCAATATGGAGAAGTATATAAGGCTCAAATGAACTCAAACATAGTTGCTGTTAAGAGGTACTTGACCGAAGAAACAATGGATAAGTTTGAAAATGAAATAACAATCATGAGCCAAGTTTGTCATCATAATGTCATAAGACTATATGGAATTTATACAGAGAAGTAAGTTCAGGTAATATAGCCCAAATCATAAAATCTGAGTTTATAGGTGACTTCTCACCTGGTCTGGTGATGGAGTTTTTATCCAATGGAGACTTAAAAACATATTTACAGGTAATATAACTGCAAAAGATAACTGACACAGCTAGCATCAAAACATGTTTTCCGTTATGTAGAAAGAAAAGCAATCTCATGAGTTTTTAATGAGATGTATGAAGGATGTAGCAATGGGAATGCATTACCTCTGTGAGAGAGGATTGGTCCATCGGGTAAGTCATTCACCATAGCATGAGCAACTGTAGTAATGTTTCTATTGTGTCTCAGGACCTGGCAGCACGAAATGTTTTGCTTGATGAGGACAAGATTTGCAAAGTTTCCGACTTTGGACTGCTGCGAGAGTTCGAGAGTAAAGTGTATCTAGTAGATCATCACAAAGCATTCGCCGTTCACCAATACGGTGGATGGCACCCGAGAGCTATACCGATAACATCTTCTACATCTTCTCTCACATCTGCTCACTGCACTGTGTTTGAGAGAGTTTCGGAATAGTGCAGTGGGAAATGTTCTTCCCTGACAAACAACCCTACTATGACATGGATATCATGCAAATAGCCTCAAAAGTTTGCAGTGGCTATCAAATGCCTATCCCTAGAGGGTGTCCAACGCTTGTAGCACAGATCATGAGAGGTTGTTGGGAGCGTGATCCAAATAACAGGCCTAATTTTCTGCTTATTTCAACTCTTCTAACTAATCGAGACCAATTAGCTACAGCATAGGATAGAAGCATGGCAACAAAATATGTATATAACTTTCTGTAGCCATAGTTAGCAAAAAAATGTATGCCATTATGTATCTTTTATAATCCTTAGCATTTATAATACACACGCGCTATTCTTGCTACTACCCTGGGCACACGCAGTCGATTGGCGAGCGAAGCAAGCCACTTAGTCGTTCGAATGCAGATTGAGAAGCCTATAGTCGTCTGAATGCGCATTGTAACTGCGGCGGCAAGGTGGCACCGATCACTAGGAACGTGCTTCATTTCTCGCCTCTGTCAAAGTTGCGCGAGCTTGGGATTGCAAACCTGAGTGGAGCTCAGCATAAAAATCGTCACACTCATAACCTGGCCCCTGTGTTGGCCAATACGGTCATGCGTACGTATGCGAGCGGTGTGGATCCGTGGGTTTTTTCTTCTTGTTTTCCAACTAACTAGCGTTCGCTAGCAATTCCGCCATAGTAGCACGTAAAGCTTGCCGCAGCTAGACCTTCGCACAGATGGACGCTATTAGGAAGCTCAAACAAGAAAATGTCAGAGTGTTTAGAAATACGAGAGAAACCGGCCGCAACCTCGGAGTAGGCTCCTTCGGTTCTGTGGTGGAGTTCAAAATCAAAGGTGCGGGGAAGAGGATCACGAAGCATTGATAATCGATGGAGATTCTTCTATACTCGTGAACTAATGTCGGAGCCCATTCATACAAAATTCTTCGGCATCTGCAGGCTACCATCTAGCTCTATACCAGCGTGCTCGTCATGGAGATGATGGATCATAGTTAGGAAGACATCATCGGAAACGATAAAGAATGATTTATTTTCCCTACACAGTGTCGATATCAGTTTTTATCGACGTAGCCAATGGCTTGGCTTACCTGCACGGTCGCACGCCGTGTGTTCTTCACCGTGATCTTACCGCCATAAATGTTTTGCTCAATGACCGCAAAAATAACCGATTTTGGAAATTTCAGGATCGTTGATGAGTTGACCAGTGACCCAGACACTATAGCTTTACGCACTCATACGAGAGTTTCCAAAGTATCTTTTGCCTCCTAGATACCTGACTCTGGAAGGCCTTGCAGAACGAACTGAAGTTGAACGGCGAAGTGAATACATGTGTAGCGCTTACATCGCATGCACCTGAGTTTCTTCATAGATGCTCTCTTCAAACTCTTCTTGTCTCTCTGAATAACCCTACGTCCTAAGCGCTACACATGGAAAAGTTAAACAAAGCATTACCAGAATCAGACCACCATTTGTACAAGCTAACAGTGCAGTGCCTTCACAACAACCCAACACATAGGCCAGCATCTGCAGACCTGCTAGCTTCGGGTAATTCAGAGAGACAAGAAGAGTTTGAAGAGAGCATCTATGAAGAAACTGAGGTGCATGCTACAGATGAAGAAAGGATCTCATTTTTATTAAAACAAATGCAATTAGCTTTCAACAGGCGTCAAGCAGAAACTACAGAACACGACGTATGTTGATGCATGACAAAAGAGTGCACGCGCCAAATGGGCTGAGGCAGGTGGGACTAGATGCTAGAATGTTTGAATGTCTTTATACATTAATGTTTAAGCTATGTTCCATGGGAAGCAGACTCAACGACGACGTAAGTCACTCATGATTAAAACAAATGCAATTAGCTTTCAACAGGCGTCAAGCAGAAACTACAGAGCACGACGTATGTTGATGCATGACAAAAGAGTGCATGCCCCAAATGGGGCAGGTGGGCTGAGGCAGGTGGGACTAGATGCTAGAATCTTTGAATGTCTTTATACATTAATGTTTAAGCTATGTTCCATGGGAAGCAGACTCAACGACGAAGTAGGTCACTCATGATTAATACGCCTCATGCTATCGCCCACCAAAATGCTCGTTAGGTAACATTCATGAATGTTGGTCTAGTAAATTCCATTTAACCCTCGGCGAGTATGTGCAGCGAGGGTTACAGACCAGTAGTTGGTTTGTCTGTCCGTCTGTGTGCCGACGCTTATTCTGGCACTACAGGCCATGGTTGGGCACATGATCCAAACAAAAGGCTTACTTTCCTGCTGATATCCAACTTTCTCACTCGTCGTGACCATTTAGAAATTAATTTTAGTGGATGCCTCGTTTTTCTTGCATGTTTTTACTATTGGAGCGCGTTTAAAAAGTCGCAGGAAACGTCGTGTGGTATGGTGCGTCAAAACTATTTCCCCCGTAAACCTCTGTAATCGGGGTGAGGGACCGTTTTCGGGGCAACGAATCGTTTTCGCATCGACGATTCAATTCCTTTCGTGGCGAATCAACGATAAAGCGACAGAATTCTTTCATAAAGGCGAAAATTCTTGGCTTAATTGAGGCGGCGACCAGGTAAGGCGATCACTGCGACGATATGCGATTGTCGGGTGATGCGAGAACTTCTAGAGGGCGGCTGGGCAGTATCGGTCCTCCAACGTCACGCCTCATTACTGGTTCGAGTAAGTAACTGTACCACTGGATCACGAATCGTCGCAGTAGTAGGAAGTTCGTGCCGCATATAACTGGTCGTCGTCGCATCCAACTCCGACGATTAGTTTCCTTCGTCGACATTAGCGTGAGAAATTCGTCGCCATCTAAAGAAGAAGATCGTCGCTAGGAAGGAGAAGCGCCGCCCCGAAAATCGATGCTCGCGCTCAGAAAACAGATCGTCGCACGACTATTATGGCGCCGCGCCATACCCCGTGCGCGCTGCGCAGCTCGAGTGAAAACAACCATGTGCGCATGCTCGTAGTGGGTCGTTATCCAACAGAGGGCACTCTTCAGTTGAGGCAGTCATAATGGATGCTACACGCACTGGGAACTTGCAAATGTGAAAAAGTGTTTATTGCCAGAAACGGGTCGACTCCTCGGCATGGCGTCATTCGGATGCGTGGTGAACTGACATCAAGGCGGCGCGGAAAGTTCGACGGGGAAACAAAGATTCCCCACCAACGAGCTCTTATGTCGACGGAGATACCAGTCTCTCGTCAACGAGTGTAAGCTAATGTCGCGCGAACTGATCACCCAGCATTGCGAAATCTACGGCGTCTGCAACCTGCTCCAGAACCCTCCGCGTTGGTCATGGAGCTAATGGACCCAGTCTGGATTGCTCGAGAATAAACGTTCCACTCCCGCTCACGACGGCTACAGTCCATCTTATCGACATAGCCAACGGTCTCATTACCTACACGGTCGACGCCGCGCGTCCCACCGCGACCTGACTGCGCGAAACGTTTTACTCGACAGGTATATATATACAGCCTCGGCCAGTCACCGAAGGTTGCAGCGCATGCCGTCGAATGGAGGAGAGTTCTCTAGCTGGCTAGGCTAGATCGAACGGCGGCACTGTGTACGCGACGTGGCGTACAAAGCTGCGCACGCGCACTTATACGACGTACGACGACGGTCGAGAAAATTACGCTCGAACGAACGACTAGGTTGTGGTAATCCAAGACGCTTAGCTCTTAGCTCTTCCCAACATACATGCTGGGAAGAGCTAAGCATGTTGGGTTGAAGCAATAATGAGGCTTGATACACTGCAAGGGTCGTAGAAATAGGAGCCGAAGAAGTTGACTGCGGTGTTCTGTAATAGGTATCCAAGGAAGTTTTTGGATGCCTAGTTTTTTGTTCTGCGCTGGTGAGGGAAGTAAAGCAGACACTAATGGTTCTGCCCATTCCTGGGTGTGTGTTTAATTGCCCCGTGACCACCGATGACACCCGCTCAAATAAAAAGTATATTTCAAGTCATGCAAACCACATTTAATGTGGGAGGGTGGCAATGCAGTGCACAGGCAACACATATTCACACTCAACATCTTTTGAGACACACAGCAATAAAGTGTGTTGGAGGGTCAGTGTTGCTATTGAGAGAGGTCAGAGAGCTGTTTCGTAGCCCATGATGTAAAAATTGAAACACGCAATTTATTAACACGCGGTAGTGATGTGATGTAAAAGTTTCGCCTATTGAGAGAGGTCAGAGAGCTGTTTCTTGCTGCCGTGTGGTGGCTCAGGGGAGAGAGGGGAGAGGGGTGTGGTGTGGGAGTGTGACCTCAGCAGTGCCGGCTGGTACTCCTGGTCCCTGAACAACTCACCAACAGTCACCTAGAAACAGAGCATGAGCTGTGAAAAATGCAACCTATATAGAGAACTGTACTAAAACACAATATGCTTCGTGACTAGCGAACAAATGTGTTATACAATCTCAGTTTGTTGTTGCTACTGGACCTTTCACTTAGGGTGCCATGCTTTTGGTGCAGCACTAGCCTTGTTCCCTTAGACCCTCCCGGCTTTCAACCGTCCCAAATGTGTGATGCAGCATAGTACGTAAGAATGCAAGGAAGGCCTGGTAACGAGGCTACTACGGACAGCAGTATGCAACTGAACCAGTAATAGTGTCTCGTACATACATTGAGGAAGACCTCCTCGAGAGTGGTCTGGGATATGGAGTAGTCCACTATCTTGTCTGCCAAACTCCTCTCTCTCTCTATCACCGTGAAGAACGGCACTATCTCCGCCTGCCTGCAGACAGTGTGAAATTGGAGGACATCATTATTTGAGGAGGACAGAAATTAAGTAGTAGTAACACACTTATTGTGTCATAGCACTTATGCATAAAGTACAGAAGTTGTTCATGCATGAACTTGGTGGTTGTGGTATGATGAACAGTGAGCTCTGACCTGTCTGGTGGTAGGTTGTAAGGCAGCAGGACTCCGCCTTCCACCTCAACTGGATCTGACCTCTTCGTTGAACCTAAGGCACACACACACAACAGGCTCACTACCTGCAATGTATCTTACAGCTACTTTATACTGCTCAATGCTTGTGTAGAGAGAAAGAGAGAGGGGGTGAGGAAGACGGAGAGGGGATAGGCTAACCTGGCAACTTTTCCCTCACTAGCACCTCTATGGCTGCCCTGTCCTGGTGACGTACCACCAGCTCAATGTTGTAACCTAGGCAACGAGACCACACCCCTCACACGCACTCACCACACACACAAAACCGGTCAAAAACTGACCTGCAAACCTGTTCTTCAAGTTGACAGACGTCCCCATCACCCTGTACACATATTATGGTGTACTACTATGACATATGTATGAACATTAATACTCTATACAGTGCAACCTAGAAAGTACACTCTATCCTACATATATATGTACACAGATCTTCTTTTTAAGAGGGTTCTATTTCAGAGGTTTCACTATATCTACTGGAGCTGAGGAATCTGCAAAGTATTCTCTGGTTTTGCCTACCTGAGTGTACCGGCGGCCATGATGGCAATGTTATCTCCCAGGATGTCAGCCTCCTCCATGGAGTGGGTGGTCATGACTGTGACTCTGCCTTGCTTCTTCCGGAGAACGAGGTTCCATATGTCCCTCCTGATTTGAGGGTCCATCCCTGTCGTGGGCTCGTCTGCGATAGGCCAGAGTAAGAAGAGATAGAAGAGAAAATAAAGTAAACCTAGGAATGCTTTTAACATTCCCGTGCTTACAACAATGCCATAAATGTGCAAAAATGAAGCGAACATGTTAAGTACAGAGGAACCTTGCTTTTCATGCCATACATGAGACCTGAAATATTGGCCGGATTAGCGAGGAGGCTGCATGATTGGCAAACCAATTCGTTCCAAAACTATTGGCTCCTTCAGCAAAGCGGCTGCATTCAGAGGCTTTGACTAGCTACGTAGGTACACAATCACAGTAGGGGCAACTAGGAGAGAGGGAGGAGGGTTGTACCGAGGAAGATGATGGAGGGATCTCCGAGGAAGCTGAGGGCCACACTCAATCTTCTCTTCATTCCACCACTGTACGTCCTCACTCGGTGGTCGGCAACCTGCATTCATATTACAGCAACAGACTCACACACATGTACACTTTGGTGAACCCCTCTCATTAGGGTACTAATGGGAGGACACTAAGGTGAAGTGTACTAAAGTCTAAAGAGCATGAGATACAACAAGTTCCCCTCTCATTAGGGTACTAATGGGAGGACACTAAGGTGACGTGTCTAAATAGCATGAGATACAACAAGTTCCCCTCCCATTAGGGTACTAATGGGAGGACACTAAGGTGACGTGTACTAAAGTCTAAAGAGCATGAGATACAACAAGTTGCTATAAACATCAAACAGGACAGCTTTCTAATTGCAGCAACATGTTGTGAGGAACAGGAAAAACGTGGAGACTTTGTTGCCTTTTGTTAGAGATTAAAAAGTATGCACTACATAGTTGCTGTTGAAACAGTAAAAAGTCCTCTTCTTTTCAGAGAGCTGGCTCTTTTCAGGTGAGCACAGCTGACTGAAGGTAGCCAGCCAAACTCACGTGGTTAAGCTGGACCTCCTCCAGTAGTGTCTGAATCTCTGTCGCCATGTTCTCTCGTGAGATCCCCTTCAGGTGGCCAAACAGCTGCATGTGCTCGTAGGCTGTGAGGTCTCCCCAGAGGACGTCGTGTTGAGGACACACCCCCAGGATGTTCCTGATGGCGTCCAGGTCCTCCGTGATAGTCAGACCGTAGAAATAGGCATTCCCTAACGAGAGAGAGAGAGGGTTGAGCAGTTAGCAAGAAGGCATGAGGATAATATAGTAGAGTTTGTAGCAGAAAACTTCGAGAGAGATTGCTTGAAATGAACTTTTCTCCCCTTCAATTTACCAGATTTATACCTTGATCTGGTTTTAGTAGTCCTGTTAGCATGTTGATGGTGGTTGATTTACCAGCTCCATTGTGGCCTGCATATCACAACAGATGTTGAATTATAATAATATTGGGACAGTGTTGAATTATATTGGGAACACAACGTTTTCAAAAGTGGCAAGTTTTTTAATACCAACATGAAAATACACAGTCACGTGAAAAGATTTTGCAACTGGATGCTGTTGCTATTATTAGTAATGACGATGTCAGTGAGGTGTATATTTACCGAGCAGAGCTAGGATCTGGTTCTCCTGTACTTTGAGAGAGAGTCCGTCCACTGCAACTTTCACATTTCCTCTACTGCAGAGACCTGTGCTGAATGTCTGCATGTAGTGTGTGTGTGTGTGTGTGTGCATGTGCAGGAGGTGGAGAGAGGGGAGAGGGAAATGGAGGAAGGGAGAGAGAAGAGAGGGGAAGTGAATGTGGCAAAGAGAGGGAGGGGGAGAGAAGAGAGAGAGACAGGGGGTATATACACATGCCTCCTCACCTTTCTCAGGGCGTGGACTTCCATTGCGTCCAATGCACCAAGTTTCTGGAAGGAAAATGTGTAATAAGTAAACAGTGCGGACTTAGAGAAATGATCTCACATATCCTTTTGTCAAGAGTGGGGCGTCGTCTTCGTCAGAGGTGTCCTGATCATTATCGGTGTCCTGTAGGACGCTCCTCTGCTGTCCTGAAGGAGGCGACTTGCCTTTCGTTGGCAGCCAGTAGGACAGTTGGAATGGGAAGTGACTGCAAGAAACGTGGAGAAAAATAAATAAATGAAAGATTGGATCTCAACTTCTCCCTCTCAGACGTTTCCTCATGAAGTACAGTAAAAAGTGTGCGTAATAATTATACGAATACTCACAGTTTTCTTGGCATTCCATGGTTGCCTGTGAGTACAGGTATAACATTGAAAAGTCACATGTTTGGTTATGTAATTGATTACCTCTGATTACACCATCCAGGTACCACGCCAACAGCCCGTACAGAATAGCGTCTCCAACCAGGAATAGAAGAGAGGCATAGGTAGGAGGCAGAAATACCTGCAGAAATACACAGACAGACAGACACAGACAGACAGACAGAGACATTTTAAAGAATTGCCAGGGATTTTCAAACTCACGGTGGTATAGGCGTTGGTGCTGTCGGCATTACTGTCCGTGCTGGGGACCTTCTGTGTGCGATCCCTCGTCATCTGTTCCCAGTCAAAGTCTGAGTATATAATAGAGACAGAGGGAGACAAAGTAAAAGTACCGTAGGAAGCAGCAAAACTTCTGTATTTTGCGCAGCTTTTCTACACTATATCATGCATTTAACAGTTTGTAATGCATTTTTGAGCCCTCATCTTTCCATCTTTCCATATTTCCACTATTGCGTGGTTGTGTACATACATGGTGTACAAAATATGGATCTGTATAGTTTGAGGCACAGAGTGACTCACAGTAGGATTCCTGGGGTAGGCCGCTGATGTCGGTGGGACTGCCTGCTGAACTTATGTCTGACATTGCCTTCGCCTGAGACAGAGGGAAATGTGTGATACGTATGAACAAGAGTATGTAGGTAGGGAGAGTGGGAGGTAGGGTATGGGTGAAAGGGAGGGAGAAAGGAGAAAGAGATGATTGAGGTGAGAGAGGCAGCAGGTACCAGGTGGAAGGGAGGGAGAAAGGAGAAAGAGATGATTGAGTCAGAGATAGTGAGAGAGGCAGCAGGTACCAGGTGGAAGGGAGGGAGAAAGGAGAAAGAGATGAAGTAGTCAGAGATAGTGAGAGAGGCAGCAGGTACCAGGTGGAAGGGAGGGAGAAAGGAGAAAGAGATGAAGTAGTGAGAGATAGTGAGAGAGGCAGCAGGTACCAGGTGGAAGGGAGGGAGAAAGGAGAAAGAGATGAAGTAGTCAGAGATAGTGAGAGAGGCAGCAGGTACCAGGTGGAAGGGAGGGAGAAAGGAGAAAGAGATGATTGAGTCAGAGATAGTGAGAGAGGCAGCAGGTACCAGGTGGAAGGGAGGGAGAAAGGAGAAAGAGATGAAGTAGTCAGAGATAGTGAGAGAGGCAGCAGGTACCAGGTGGAAGGGAGGGAGAAAGGAGAAAGAGATGAAGTAGTCAGAGATAGTGAGAGAGGCAGCAGGTACCAGGTGGAAGGGAGGGAGAAAGGAGAAAGAGATGATAGTCAGAGATAGTGAGAGAGGCAGCAGGTACCAGGTGGAAGGGAGGGAGAAAGGAGAAAGAGATGATTGAGTCAGAGATAGTGAGAGAGGCAGCAGGTACCAGGTGGAAGGGAGGGAGAAAGGAGAAAGAGATGATTAGTCAGAGATAGTGAGAGAGGCAGCAGGTACCAGGTGGAAGGGAGGGAGAAAGGAGGAAAGAGATGATTGAGTCAGAGATAGTGAGAGAGGCAGCAGGTACCAGGTGGAAGGGAGGGAGAAAGGAGAAAGAGATGATTCAGTCAGAGATAGTGAGAGAGGCAGCAGGTACCAGGTGGAAGGGAGGGAGAAAGGAGAAAGAGATGAAGTAGTCAGAGATAGTGAGAGAGGCAGCAGGTACCAGGTGGAAGGGAGGGAGAAAGGAGAAAGAGATGATTGAGTCAGAGATAGTGAGAGAGGCAGCAGGTACCAGGTGGAAGGGAGGGAGAAAGGAGAAAGAGATGATTGAGTCAGAGATAGTGAGAGAGGCAGCAGGTACCAGGTGGAAGGGAGGGAGAAAGGAGAAAGAGATGATTGAGTCAGAGATAGTGAGAGAGGCAGCAGGTACCAGGTGGAAGGGAGGGAGAAAGGAGAAAGAGATGAAGTAGTCAGAGATAGTGAGAGAGGCAGCAGGTACCAGGTGGAAGGGAGGGAGAAAGGAGAAAGAGATGAAGTAGTGAGAGAGGCAGCAGGTACCAGGTGGAAGGGAGGGAGAAAGGAGAGTACTGAAACCAGAGGCTTCACATATTGATACAGCTCTATCAACAGGAACTGGTTACCTACAGGTTCATAAATAGAGTAAGATGTCACAGAAGCATTGAGTAACATTAGGTATATATCACATTGAGTATAGATGTCTACAGGTAGAATTGAGTGGACATGTGCAGAGGTTATAGGTATAAAGTGAGCAAGTGATTATCAATGGAGGAGGAGAGGTTGAACTTACTGAGTAGAGATATGACCATTAGTCCCACTACAAACACCATCATCCCTGCATTGACTGTAGGTGTGTGTACAAAAGTTCTTCTAGAACTGAGGTATATACAGGTAAGTTGTAAGTCAAATTACCTGCTTGTCTGGCAGTACTGAGGAATACACTGGCAAAGAAGGCCAGAGGGACCATACTGGCACTGTAGATGAAGAACAACACTGCACGGAACACACGCAACACAGAGTGAGATAGTGAGGTTTCCATGTGGTAATGAAGGGGTTGATAGTAGACGAGGGATGAATTGACTTACAGAAGATGATGTCTGGCTCAGTGTTGAGGAAGAACTGCAGCTGACACGCATAGCCTGAGAATTCAGTAAAAGTGAAGTGTTTTGAAAGTTTAATATTACAACACGAATTGGCCCACATAATAATATTGGTGAGCTTTGCTAGCTAAAAATTGCCGAGGAACAGAATGAGTAAGAATACCAGTAATCGTGAGGATTAAGGTAGAGAAAGAAAGCAATCACGAGACCAGTCACAGCCCTAGAAGAGAGTGTTTCAATATAAACATAACATAAACATCATGCCTTGGCTCACCATGTCATCCAATAGACCGAGTCTTTCAACCCAATCAGCTTCAACCCCTGTTAATGGAGAGAGTCACATGACTGTCACATGAGTGTCACATGACCCACTGACTTGTCTCAGCTTGAGGTCTTTCTCTGAGACAACATTGTAGAGCATCATCACAAACTGTGGAGGCAAAGAACAGCGATGGAAGCATCATTAGAGGCAAAGAAAAATCACGACACAAAATACTTCTGCAAAACTGCAAGACTTTTGCAGTGACTTGGTTTAGCATGATGCACTTGCCATCCGACTGCATTCACTAACCAACAGAATTTGTGAAACCTTTCAGTGATTCGTTAAAAAATAAGTTCTCAGTTTTCAAGTATTGATTATCGAGGTTACTAGTATAAGAATAGGTATTTGAAGGATGATAGTAATCAGCAAAAAAAGGTCATTACCTGGAAAGTAATGGCACAGAAGAGAAATGTGGTAGCAGTTTCAGCCTGGAGAGAGGAGGAGGAGGATTAAGAGGAAGCACGTGAAACAAGAGAATGAAAGAGGGAGAGAGAGAGAGAGAGAGTAAGGAGTTCTCACCTGTTTGGTGGCAACTGACTCTCTCTGGTAGTAGAGAGGGAAGGAAGCGGCGCTGACATTGAGTGTGACAGTGGAGCCCATCACCAGAGACAGGAACAGAGAGTCAATCAGAACTGCTATCTCTGTGGGACGAATACACACACACACACACACACAAGGAGATCATTTCAGGGCCATTGTAAACATCTATGCAGTTGCAAGGTAAACATCACCAAGGAAAAAGAGTGGTCTGAGTGAGATTCGAACCCATGACACTTGGTTGTCTGAGAGAGCTCTACCTACTGAGCTACCAGGGCAGCTCAGCAGGCAGGGCTTAAATTTCCATGTCCTTGACACAATTTCATTCTCCGGACCTTTTCTTCCGTCAGGTTTGTTGGGACTGCCCAGGACGATCTGCTCAAATGCCAGAGCTCGGGTGGAGTTGTAGAGGATTGTGTAGTTCAGCTTCGAGGCCGACTTACTGCGAGGAAAACAGAAGCATTACTACCCTAGGGGTGTGGTCTATTGCCGTAGGTCGTATGTGTACAGTAAAACTATTGAGTAAGGAATACTTTTGGACCATCAGGAAAGGCATCCTTATTCGGAGGTAATAGCACACACTTCTAGTAAGGGGAAGAACTGAATGTACTTTTTAGATAGTTAGGAGGGTCATTTTTGGAGCTAAAACTAAGCACCAACCAACTCACTTTTGATGGTCCACTGAACATTCAAAGAACATTACAGCCTGCGGTGAGTGTAAGAAACAGCACATGATTATCTTGTCACACTGGTCATGTGAGTGTCACATGACCCCGGGAGCCCACTATAATAATAGCTCACCGCCTGAGTCTGGTTCGGGTGCTGGGTGAAGTAGTTACTGACAGTTTGAGTGGTGATGTGGACTCTGAAAATCTCCTTCAGTTCACTCTTGCTCAGGACCAGGTGAATGTCGGCAGTGGTGTTCATAGAGTTTGTGTTCATGCTCAGTCCAGTGGCTATCGGAACATATGTATGTCTCAACAACTTGGTAACGAGGTAGAAAGGCAAGGCAAGGCAAGGCAAACAAGTCAACTACACCCAAAACAGCTTTTTCTTTTCAAAGAAAAAAAAAAGAAGAGCTGCCCTGGGTGGGATTCGAACCCACGACACTCTGCAGTCTAGGCGAGCGCTCTACCAACATTAGTAAATGATGCACCATTGGAGAGCAAACACGAGTGCAACATTCCAGCAGTTTTTTCCTGCGTATTTAGAATTAATTCACGGTATCGATCGTGTACCCGTGTCCGTGTGTTTAGCAAAAGATGCCAGGTATTTTTTGGGAGTGTGTGTATATACCATAAAATCGAATCTGTGACTTCCACAGGTTAAAGGAAATGTGGCAGTAGTAAGGGTAAATTTAGAAATGTTAGAACTAATCACTACTTGTGCGACTTGATATACAGTGAAGTAGTCTCCTGAATGATGCTGCATTTCAGATAATTATACTCACCTCGTGAGAAGTTAGTCATGATGTTTGTGACGCAATCTTTATTACTTTTGTCAAGCTCTGTCACATTGAAAAAATCTACACTAGCATCCAAATCCTGTGTGCACACAAAGATGAAAGTAAACAATGTGCCAAGTGGGTTCAACACTTTCAATTTCACGGTAAACCAAAGGATTGTTGTGATAATCTTTTCCCAGGGAAAGGAAACACTTTCAGCATGGGCAGGCAACCAAAATAAACACAGCAAGTTAACATAATAATATGCGTATAACTGTGAGCGTAAGGGAACAGTTTGTACTCACAAATCCAAAAGCAATGAGAGAGATACACGGCTTTCCATTCCAGGCCTGCAGAAGATTATGTGCCATTAAACAATACGAAGCAACCCATAAAATCAACTCTATTTGCTTCTACCACCAACCCTCCATCCCTCCCCATCCCTTTGTCTACACAAACATCTGACCTTGCAGCGAGGCAGGGTCCCCAGGGGAGTGACGGGCGGATTCAGGACGTTCTCGAGGCCCTGCGGCAGGTACGAGAGCCCCGTCACCAGGAGCAGGAAGAGCAGAGGAGCTAGAAGCTGCAGTAGCGTCGTCTTCCAGCTGCGTACCTGCAGAGAGAAATAGCTTGTTGGCCCACATCCAAGGACGACATAACCCGGGTTCTGAACACTCACGCTAAAAAGCCAGTTCTTCCACAGCATGAGCCTCGCTTGTTTCCACCTTCCCGCTGCCATGGTATAGTTAGATACAGACCCACACCACCAGGGCCCACACTGACAGCTATAAAGGGCAGGCTCGGGAACAGGCAGTCGGTGTGCGCCCCGAGCAGCTTGCGTCATATGACAAAGGGAAAACCCCAACCTCGATGTGAGCTAGCTCCGCCCACCAACGCGTGTATGTAGCTATTATAGCTGTCGCCTCGGACTCGTGTAAAAATGACAGCGCCCTCAACGAAAGAAGGAGTGAAGGTAAGACTCCCTTTCTCTCTCGCCTCTCTCCCCCCAGCTACCGTTCCTCCTCACGTGCACCTCACACAGGATGTGGAGGTGGAGAAAGAGGATCAAATGAGAATCAACCTCTTTGCCAGGAAGAATGCCAGACTGCTGGACATAAGAGAGAAGATCACCGAAAAAGAAGTTAGAGAGCCACGCTTTTAAAAATATTTTCTAGCTTCTGAAATCTCTGTTTGCCTGCAGAAAGAGCTACAGAACCTGGAGGATGCGTCGGACGAACTAATGATGGGAGATTCAGATATCCCCGTACCGTATCCACATATAATGATTCCTCGTATTGTCTGTGGGGCTATGATATACAGCCTACCCACTGAAGTCGCTCCCTAACCAGTGACTGTACAGGTACCAGGTGGGGGAGACGTTTATCCACGTGAAGGAAGAAGAGGCACAGGAGATAATGGAGAAGGCAAAGGAGCGGCTGCAGGAGGAGCTCACGAAACTAAAGACCAGCTCGGAGACAATTGAGGGAGTCATGACTCATCTCAAGGTCCAACTGTACAGCAAGTTTGGAGACAATATCAACCTCGAGGCAGAGTGATCAACTATAATAGCACACAGCCCAGAAGACTAGATCACAATTACAAACCACCTTTACCATCTCTTGAGTTTGTATTACGTTGTGATTTGGTACACGACAATACAATCTAGCAGGTCTGTGTGTACCAAGATAATAGTGTTCATTGAGATTGTAGAGCTGATTTTGTCAGAATTGTGGGTTGAAGGCTGTTCCAGTGTCTCTGATAAACTCTGCAGTCATCTTGACCAGCTCGTCCTTTGTCTTTCTGCCAGTGACCTTGACTCCCTTCTCCTGCAGCCATTTCTTCAGTAGAGGAATCTTTGTCTTTGATATCTGTGGGCATCCACTGTCTTTAGTTATAGCGTCACCATTTCGTACTGAAAACCCACTTTGCTTATAGTCTCTCCGTTGACTCCATCCACTTGTATAGCAACCTTCACTCCTTTACCCTGTGGAGTATCCAGGTAATTAGTATAATTAAAGCACAGAGTGGAAGGAAGTGTACTTGTTACATAGTGAAATCTATCATCGCCCAGTTTCTTAGTGAGGAAACAGTGTAGGTGTCCTTATATTGTTTCAGGGGTAGGTGTTTCAATATTGTGCATACTCGGCTGCCCACCTTCTTGCGGGGTGTTGCAATGTGTACAGGGGTGTACTGGTTATCCAGCGAGGTAGACAAACAGTCTGAGTCAGTCTCTGTCTGCATCATGAGAGACAAATCAGGCACCGTCTGCTCTGAGCCACGGGCACTGGTGGCCAGACTCCTCTGCTGCACAGGATTACATCTCTCTCCTCCCACATTATTCTCTTGAACACCTCCACCACCAGCAGTGAGTGAGGCAGACACAGAGGCTGCGTTAACGCGACATTGCTTCTGTGGTTGTTGTGGTATTGGCAGGGAAGAAGCTGTCGAACACCGTTTCTTCCCCGAGGGTCCTGAGCTCTGTTGACTTGTTGCTGTGGAAGTCTTTCGGGATCCCTGCCCTGGTCTACTGGGTGCTACTGGTGAAGTCGGGACGGTCTGAGGTCTAGACAAAGGTTTGAATGAAGGAACAATGGGTGCTGATTTCCTCGCAACCTGCTGCGGTGTAGTGAGAGGTGGTAGTCTTGATGTCTGTGTAGGTCTGAAGACTGGAACTATCCTAAGATTGGTCCCCTGGTTTAGTGGTGGATGGTTGGGATCACCTTTTCTTCTGGGATCGCTTTGTGAGTGAGATCCAGCTGATGAACATGTGCCTGGAACTCTCTGTGGTATGTTTTGGGATGGGGTCACACGACCTGAATGGCTCCCATTGAATGAAGTCACATGACCTGAATGGTTCCCATTGGATGGGGTCACATGACATGAATGACTCCCATAGGATGAGGTCACATGACCTGAAGAAGCGAGAGCAGCAGAAGCACGTCCTATTAACCCAGTTGTCCCCTTCCTGGCCCCTAACGAGGTGGGTGTGGCAGCAGCACTTGCAGGACGAGAGGGACCCGGAATGACTCTGATATTGGGGTAATTAGTGGGTGTGGCTGCAGTCTGTAGGAGAGCGAGTGGAGCGAGGGCCTTGCTGGAGTACCTCGCAGGCTCTCCACAGAGAGTGGGCATCCTGGAGTGGAGGTCAGTGATGAAGGAGCTGGCGATAAACCTCGAGTCTCGGCTGCCAGAGGTCACAGTGGGCGGAGACTTGAGCACACAGCAACCAGGGTAGCTGTAGATTACTAGCCAAGATTACTGAGGTGCACAGGGAAGAATACTGAGCACCAGATTACAAATAAGAATACTGAGGTACATAAGTTTACTGCGACATACACTACATATGTACAGGTTTACTGGGCAAGTTTACTGAGATCAAGAGGTAGATTACTGTGCTATGATTACTCCACTGAGCTCACCTGAAGAAAGTTCTGGAGTTGGACTTGAAGAAAATTTGGAAGAAGAGGCCTTGTTTCTCCGGTAGGATCATGCCGTGCTGAAACATCACCATATAACAGTACATCACAGTGACCTCTTGCATATATAGCTAGCTAGCTACCTGTTTCTTCCAGTGGAGTCGTATGCTGTCGTAGGTGGGGAACTCTGGGGAACTTGGGAGCTGGTGGTTCGCAGAGAACACATATCCCACTGTCAGACTGTGAGGAATGAAACAACATCTCTGTGTGCAAAAATTCTCCGCAGTTGAAAATACTGAATTTGACTCTTGAAGCATAAGTATTACATTACTTTAGCTGCCCCACCACGTGCGTCCGCACATGTGCAGACCAGAGAGAAAGTCTGCAGGCTAGGCAATAGTGTTGCTATTCCACCCTCTAACTATAGTCAGTATATTAGGGGTGATTGGTTTGTCGTTTTGTTTTCTCTCGTGCCTGTTAAAAATGCAAAATCGTTGAAACGCTTACAGGTAAAAGTATCGTAAGACCGTGTTACTGATCTCTCGCACACACAAGACTCAGCTCACTTTGGCAGGAGAACACAGCGGTTCTGGTAGATGCTGGTCTCTCGTATGACACCACGAGGGTCACTCAGAAAAGCTCCCAGGGTACTCACACTCACCTCCATGTCACTCACCTGCCAGTGGATGCAGTGAGTAATGTGTGAAGATACCAGAATCATAATACAGGGTAACATTTTGTAATGGGGACACTCTGAATTTTCAGACCTGGAGAAAGTTGAAGTTGATTCGTGAGACTCTGACTGAGAGTGTAATCTCTGTCCGTGTGACTCCAACCTCCAACACTGCAGTAAAAGGCAACACCATACGTGGGTATATAACGTGGGAGAGGACTTACCGACTGCGTGAGATCTACCAGTTGACAGAAACTCCATCCCTGTGTAACACAGACAGAAGCATTACCCACGATTCTAATCAGAATTATATACCCCATCGTGGATTGCACATAATTACAGGGTATATCGTATTAGGTAATGTAAGGATAGGAGAGTGTAACATGTATAGTGGTGAGGATACCTTGAACTAGCCAGCCAGATACGACGTTCCACTTGGGAGCCAGTCGAGCAGTCAATGAGAACTGGTAGCACGTCTGCAGTATACCTTCACTTACACCCACCTGCCTCAGAATCTGCCGCACCAAAACTCATTCAGTTGTGTAATTAAAACGAGTTCTAACCTTCACTCCAAGGCTCTTCAGTTTCCCTTGCATCTTGTCACTACCCAGATGACCAGTCTGTAGAAAGTCACCATCAATGATAGCTACTTAGATAGCAGGAAATCTGCAAAATACTTCCACAGCAATCTATGATTTCTGGCATGTTATTTTAGTTTCAATGAAGATGTTGAAGCACATAATCATGCTATTGCAATTTCAAGCCGGGATTACATTTGAGGTACAATCCATATAAGGTGATAATTTGCAGCTATATTAGTGAGTGCCCACTGTGGCCATTATCCAGAGAGTCATGGGAGGACGGCCGGTGAAAGGTGGAGTGTGGAGAGCTGCAGTAGTAGGAGACACCAGGAGACCAGACTCACTGCGAGCCAACTCCCTACAGTGACACACACAGCTTATCGTGTCATGGCAGCCCCAGTGTCTGTATCCATAGAACCCATGCCGCATCACTCACACTACATTTCCAGCTAGGTTATAGGATGCAGCTAGCTAACTCTTTGCAATGATAGGCATGCTGAAGTAGCTAGCTATAGTGCTACTAGCTAGCTAGGAAGAATGCATTATTGAGCTAGCAAGCTATAGCTATATATATACCTGCATTTGGACTTGAGGTGTTGTAGAAATGGCCCGTGACGTTGGCCAGTCGCGAGCTCAGCCTCGACCAGTTCAATTCTGTTCAGAGGCGGCAGTCTAGCAATGAACAACTCTACAGCCATCTCTCCGGAGGACTCTCGCATGCGCGCACGCAGGGCATGCGCGCCTTTTTACCGCCAAAATCTCAATACGCATGCGCAGTAATTTAGCGCGTTCGCCGGTTGCATAATCTCATAAATTATTCATTATTCTAAAATATTAGGTTCATTGGTCAGAGTCTATGAGGAGTCACTGGAGCTTGCTGTTGGCGTAAGTCCTGGCGGCAGCGAGAGCCTGTGGCAACTGGTCAACGTTGGGTCCAGAGGCCTGGGCAGTGGTGGTGGTCCCTCCCCCCTTCCCTCCCGTCACCTCAATGACGGTCTGGACCCACTGGTCCGCCTGCAACCCCTTGGACACCAGACCCTGCAGTGTGTATGGATGTATAGTGAGTGAACACTCTAATTATGCAAAACCTTTAAATAAGGGGTATATAGTTTGGGTATATAGATCTTGAGATTGTCCATTAGTCAGAATTCAGAGAACTAATGGAAAAGAGTGTTCTTTGTAGAGAGGTGTCCATTATTCGTAGGGTCCTTTTTCAGTGGTTTCACTGCCTGTATTGAAACCCCTGCATTGGGTCATGCAGTATTCAAAGACTGATGACCGCATACAAAACAGTCCCTAACATCCTATATACGAGTATGCTGTGTGTACAATCCCCTACTAGCACACCAGTGTGGCGTGTGAATGAGGGAAGGTAAACAACTGGTGGGGAGGAGACAGAGGCACCATGCAGACAGGGACAGAGGAAGTACAGCCTGCAAGTTCCTCTCATGATGAAACCACTCTCTCTCTATACACCACTGACAGGACCTCCCCTGTATAGGGGTGGGCCGACTCCCTTTGGAAACACTCCATTGCTATGATGCATTATCGCACTTCCTTTCAAGTGCATCGCAAAAATGTCCCATCCAAAAAATGTATTAAAAACTTTTGTACCTGCCTTTGCTTGAAGTATATACACACTGCCACGTGTTCTAATAAATGCTGCAGACTCTATTATATTATACAACTGACCTTTGGTACGAGACAGAGACAGAAAACCTTCCCGCTGTCCTCGTCTCGCGAGAAAAACATGGCCGCAGTGTTGGGAGCCTGACCTTTGAACTGCTTGAGAGCGGTGTCAAGAGCCTGTGTGTGTGACGGGAAGGTGGACCAGGGAGACAGGAAGGAAGGGGAAGGGAGAGAGAGGGAGAGAGGAAGGAAGGGGAGGGGGGAGAGGGAGAGGAAAGGAAATGCTATCACACTGAGTAGCAGGGGAGAGAGTACAGGACAACCTTTAATCTAATTTGCAGTACACTATCATAAATCACCATGGCACTATATAGAGGTTACACATGGCATGAAGAGTGCGGAGTGAGAGGACAAAGTCTTACTTTCGAATTTCCACCGACGGCCATTTCTTCCACAACGACACTCTCCTTCTGCGTGTCAAGACCTGCTATGATCTCCTTGGCACGCTCCACAGCCTGGGAAGAAAGTATAATCAGTTTTCTATCTTTCCCCTCTCCTTCATTTCTTCGCCCTCTCTTTTTCTCTATCACGCCAACCTCTTCCTTTCCTTCCCTCTCTTTCGCTCCTCTCACTTTCTCCACACACTCTAAAACCTAATAGTCTGCTGTTTTCTCTCTCCCTCCCTCTTTCCTAACATGTCAGTCACGCGTGTGAAAAACCAGACCAACCTGTTGAGCGAGCTTCGTCTTGTGGGCACGGTCGGCGTCAATGACGCTCTTCTTGAGAGAGTTCAGTGTCCTTCTCATAGTCTCCTTTCTCCACTGGGATATGAGGGAGTTTGAGAGAGACTGCAGCGAGAGAGAACGGTACACAGTATTCAGGGGAGAGAATAACAAAGAGAATTTACCAGCCCCTTTGGAGTAGGGTGTTTAGTACCGGGCATATAATATGGAAGGTTTAATGTTCTACCACCAAGTCTTTTTATTCTGTCAGAATGTTATTTGTGTTCTGCTGTTTTTCATCTAAAAAGTAAGCCTGTAGCGATGTTTTGATAACATTCACTCCATCCATAAATGGTAGTAAAGACTAGTAGGTCCCTGAGACTGTGTGTGTGTGTGTGTGTGTGTAACTACTCGTACGCTTTGAGATTTGTCTGTCTCAGTCCTAAAGTGAGTGTTTTACTGAGACTTAACGATACAGAGAGAAAGAAAGAGACTCATGCAGACCACTTACATCACCGGTTTCGACAATCATCTTTGTGGCGGTCTTGAAGGGGAGGGAGCCATCTTCAAGCCCTGACTTCACCTTCAGCTCCAGGTCTCCCACCTCCTTCTCTATGAGACCAGCATTACGATGAGCCTTGGGTGGGCAGGGGTGGATAAAAAGAGGGAGAAAGAGAATTAATAACATACATGATGCATGGGTTTATCAAAACCACTGAGAGTGTCAGATGTAAAAAAAACTGTATGACCACTGTATTGAACTCTGTTGCACGCTATATAGCTATGATACTATGCCTGCAGCAAAAGTGACAGTTACTGTATGGAAGAGTCCTCCCGGATCCACATACATACCTGCAAAAGTGTGAGTGTACTCACAAAATGGTTACTTGTGAAGGAATACCCACACATGAACACACATACATTGTACATACATAATACCCACACATACATGCATAATACCCAGCACACATAATGTGCTTGGCACGGGAACAGGAGCGATATGTGGATAATTAGTCTGAGGTTACATCTAGTGCTGATAATAAAAATACAACAGGTGTGATCTGGAATGACTGAAGGGGAAACACGAGGAGAGTTTCGCGTGAAATGGGAACAAAGGAAGTGACGAGCTGTGGTCACACTTCAGCAAAAAGTTAAGCCAGACCACAGAGTGGTGGTGTGAGGTCACCACAGTCAGTGCATAGAGCTCTTGTGCTATAGGGAGAGATGTAAAGGGCTTCCTTCCCTTCATAGTTATTAGAGCAGATTCTGACATAGCACCCTTCTATTACATAGCAACACACCACAGGGCCTATTATAGACATGGACTAAATCACAAGAGGTACGTACTTCCTTCCACACGGCAATTTTTGGAGGTGTTCTATTTTTAAATCACGTCTCGAATATCGCACGATGTAAAATTGTTTTTCCCAAGTACCGTTTCGTTGGTTACAACAGTACATTTCCGCTGGGAAATCGGATCCAACTTGCATAAACACATGCATGTGTCAACAACTTGGTAACGGGGTAGAAAGGCACATGTGATACTTATCCGGCAAACTACAGGAAGTTCAAGAACTACTATTGCACTGACTCAATAATTCCCCAACCTGCCATATGTGGAAACAAGCTACTGGTTTGTTGTAGGAAAAGCCGGCGGTATGCCGCAATTATATGTGTGTAACTTTAAGAAGCCATGTTTGTGTACACTGAACAATGGGCACTGATAGTGATTTGGTAATCATTCTCAGAAAACACACACACACACAGGTGTTTGGGAAGATGTCTCTTCAATGGCTATCAGACAGCCCCGTATTACCTCCTGACACACTAGGGGGGCTATTAACTCACCATGGGCAGTAATAATAAATGCGTGGCATTCGTCAAGTAATAATGTAGTTAACACATCGTTTCTCACATTATAATAAGGTCAATACTTGAGCTAAGTGACAGATCTTCCATAAGATCAGTAAGGCACCAAATTTGTGAATGACCAATCTCACCGGTGCTACTTTTTTGGACAAAGTTTTCAATGGAATATTATTATGACCTGCCTCCTCATGCAACGACTGCTTATCTTGCCTCAAACTATAGCTTCTTTAAAGACAATAAAAAATTTGGCAAAATCTCAACCACCAAATATTCCGGTCATACAAAGTAGCTATCATCATCATCACGTTAACGGACGTGGTCTGAAGCAATGCAGCTGCCCACCTAGCGTACCAGCTGCCTCCCAGGGAAGGGAGTGACTGTTATTTTGACCAGTGGCTGAGAGCCGCGTCGCCAGGTTTTTCACGGGAAGGGCAATACTGTGGCAGACAAGTGCCACATGGACTCTGAAAGGGAGCTCAGCCGCAGTGTAATTAATCCAGACACACAGATTGGCATTCGGTGAAACCACTCGAGCCAGCAGGGGTATGCGTCCGTTCACTTCACTGATTTCACCCATTCACCCAACAATTAGACCCACTAAAGGAGCGTCACACGTAAGACGATGCAACTCGAGATCCACTTTTCCCAGAACTTTTTAATAAACAATGGCTCGAGCCTAATAAGGAGGCCTTCTCCCACTGTCCATCAGGCATGTGTTAAATATTATGATGAGCCCCTGTGATTTTCAGAAATAATTAAACTTCTTACACACAGACTTCTGTATACAACTGTTGAGGGATAATTTGGGGCTCAGAAATCAGTATTTTTCTCAACGAACAAAATGTCTATTTAGCAAAGTACATATTCCCTAGAAACGTTTCTTTCTCTTTACATTCTGCTCACCCCACCCCTGCACCAGTAGCATCTACTCTCCTTCAGTTTCACCTGACCGAGGCTGTCTATACCTCCTTCCAATCTTCGTGGTTCTAAGGTTCAAGTTGTAGGATGGCTCGTGCAGATTGTGTGCTCGCTCCCGCTCGCCAAAAATGCCACCTCTCTCTGTCGTTCCTACACAGCACCAACGGTCTCACATTACATTCACAGACCTTGAGGGCCTCCGGTCCAGTGAGGGCAACGATTCTGCGGATCCCCTTCGCAATGGCTTCCTCCGTCACCAGTGCAATCGACATGATGTGGCTTGAACGATGGAGATGCCTGGAAAAAAGGGGGGAAGAGGTTGAGATCGTGATTGAGCGAGAGACCCAATAGAAGTATTCTTCCCTCTTCCAATCTTACCGCTCCCTCCCCCCTCCCCCTCCTCACTCTCTCCCACTCCACTCACGTTCCACCACAGAACTCCACAGAGTACTGGACAGCCCACGGTCCAGTCGGGTCACCAGTCAACGTCTCCACCGGCTCTCCGATACTCAACACTCGCACGGGGTCAGGGTACGTCTCGTCAAACACGGCACGCAGTCCCTGGATCTCCTTGGCCAGCCCGAGCGGTGTCTCCCTGGCGTATACCTGATAGTTGGCCTCAATCATCCGCTGCACAATCTTCTCCGTCTCATTTATCTCGTCTGGAGTCATGGCTTTCTGCAGAAGAACAACAATGTACTCTTCAAACTATATAAAGCCTCTGTTGACTGTAATTATCCAGCTTTGGAAAATACACCTTCCCCCACACCTTCCCTTTAACGTATTAAGGCTACTTTGTTTACGTAATAATGATTCAGTGTATTCTTTGGGACATAGCACCTTCCTCGTACTTCTTTCTTGCAGCATAAACTGTTTACTGTTACACGTGTAATAATGATGTCATTCGGTGTAGCCTTGAATTGAATACCTTTCCCATTTGTGTGGAGCCATTATTAACAATCACCACACTGAAAGCGAAATCACCAACTACAGCTGCACACACACACAAATAGGGAAGGTCAGGCTTTCAATGAAGGTTTTGGTAAACATGTTGAGTTTAAATTAGAAATCGCATGTGTATTAAATTTGTGAGGGTGGGGCAAATGACAACAGGTAGAGCCCCGAAAAATTTTCATCTGTGCTTTAGCTGTTTTCTGGGGTTAGGTTAGTATAAATTATCCAAACATCCAGTGAAAATTGCAGTTAAAATATTTTTTTCCTGCCATGCAGTTATAGTAATACAGTTGGAGAGTATATACACTGACCTTGGCGGTGAAGTCGAAGCGGAGTCTGTCTGGTGCCACGAGCGATCCCCTCTGGTCCGCCTCCCCCAGGACTCTTCGGAGGGCAAAGTTCAGGGCGTGCGTCCCCGTGTGGTTCTTCATCACCAGACTCCGCCGGTCCTGCAGGGTGAGGTACGCACAACGGATACCGTGACCCTCTCAGATTGAGAGAAAAAGGGGGGACAAGGGGGACGAAAATCAATCCCTCTGATGCGCCCCAACTTCATTCCTATCATGAAGGCAACACCGAAACCAGAGATTAATTTGATTGCCTCCTCCAATTAAGCCAATCAAGTACGGTCCAGGTGTTTAGTGAAATTGGAGCGCATACGTAACCCCCCCCCCCCCCCCCCCCCCCCCCCGTTGAGCGACAAAGTACACACACACACTTCCAAACACACTGTTATCTGGCCCAACGTAACGGAATTTCTGAGACGTTGTGGTACACGCAAATCCACACTGAGAGAGGCATGCAGGGCGCATAGCAACGCAGAGTAGCTGAAAGGTTGCCGTCAATCGGCGGGGTATCCCATCCATCAACACAGCTGCAAAAAGTGGGACACCTGCCCGCCCAAAATTCTTGCAGGATAACCTACGTTGACTCAGATGCCAGTTCACCATAACGGTACACTCTCTCATGTATAATGGTGATATATATACGAACATTGGATGGATGTAAACAAATCCAGTGACAGAGAGACAACCGCAACCCAATAATACGCTTCCCACGCACGGTTCTCTCGCTTGATGGTAAAAGTGCGCCGGGATCGGTAGCTCGCCGGTCTCTCTGTTCCGTCTCGTCCCTCAGGCTGCGCCCCCCCTCTTAATTGAGCCATCAAAGTCGGTCGGAGGGTCGCAGCCAAATGGGAGTTACACGCACAAAGAGGTGGAAAAAGAAGCGCAACAAGCACACGAGCGTTTGAGGGACAAACAGGGGTTGAATGTAAGGTAGCATATGCACCCTTGCATCAGATGGAAAGTATGAACACAATATAATATAGCAGTGG